AAATCCGAAGCTTAACGCCCAAAAAAACCCGAAAACGCAACACTGAACACCCATCTTCGAGGCTTTTGCCCACTCCACATAGCACGGGAACAGGCCGCCTGATTTCGGGATGCAGCGGATTTCGGGCTGCGCCGTTGAGGGTTTCTGGGCTCAGGCTGTACCGTAATACAACCTACGTCACGGTCCTTTTGAGGTGCTGCGCCAAGGCCTAGCTTTTCATGTTGCCTCCTTCCATAACATGGCAGACCACAGCTCCATATGAGACCCACGATGCGCCGGAGTCCGTTCTCTTGTCCCCTTGAGTCCAGTGTAAACTAAATTCTAGGAGTTTGTAACCCTAAACCCTAAACCCTAAACCCTAAACCTTTGTTGTACAGCTCTAGCCACGACGACCCTGAGCTTCGGCACTAGGCTCCTCTGAGCCCAAGGCACTTCCAAAGCTCATCCAAGCTTTTGAGCTCCTCCGGGCTCTTCACGGAAAGTGCTACGGACGTCCCAAAGGCCTTTGTCTAGGGGTTCAGGGCTCCCTCCGCAAATGTCTCGCTAGGGGTGTATAGGACCATAGGGGTAGCTTCAGGCTAGGGGTGCAGGGTCGTTTTGGGTCATTGTTGAGGGCTTTTGAATTTTTGAGCGCTTTTGGGGCGACTTGTGGGATGCACTACGACAGCAAGGCTCCATAAGGGTCTTCGGGTGGTATAGGGTTTTGATGCACGCCTTTGCAAGGTTTCTAGACCTGAAACCCTGCACGCTAAACCCTGAACTCTACACTTTGAACCATTAGCCCTCTCTCTCTCTCTCTCTTTTTCTTTCTTTCTGCCGGGCATAAGGGTCGCGGTGCGACCCACAGGCCTAAGCCCGCCCGTTTCTCTCTCTCTCTCTCTCTCTCTCTCTCTCTCTCTCTCCCATTTTACACCAAACCCTAAACCCTATATCATCCTAACCCCTAAACCCCTAAACCCTAAACGGGGTATTTGGACTTTCACGGCTGGGCACTCCGGGCGCGGAAGCTTTCGTGGGGACTCCGCGGTTGAAACCTGCTTCGCAATGCCTTCCTAATATACAGGGAACTCCAGAAAGTTGGAATGTGGATTAATGGTAGGGTTTAGGGTTTAGGGTTTAGGGAACTCCAGAAAGTTGGAATATGGATTAATGGCCGGGTCCCCTATAATTTACCTTAAAGGGGTTACGATAATGATATTCCAACTTTCTGGCTTTGCCCTTACAGGGGCCTCACTAGCTTGAATAGGGTTCCTTTAAAGGGGTCTATAAGGGCTACTTTCAGGGATCTAAAAGGGTACTAGAATATCGGGCTTAATAATTAGAGTAGGGTACCTTTAAAGGGGTCTGTAAGGGCTACTACAAGGGATACATTAAGGATACTATTATATAGGGGCCTTTATGATTAGAATAGGGTTTCGGGGCCAATTAAACTATAAGAATAAGGAACCACCCAAAATAGTATAGGTATTTTTTAAGGCACCCATAGTAGATGCGAGTTTCCGAAAAAACGGGACCCTAATATGGCACCCTAAATAGTAGGATCCGTATTCTAAAGACCCCAAAATAAGGTACCCCTGACTTTCGGAAACTCCAAGATCAGCTTTCAGCTCTTAGTTTCGGAGTTGCGGTTTGAATCTACAGGGAACTCCAGAAAGTTGGAATATGGTTTCATGGTAGGATACCCTATAATTTACCATAGAAGGTTTAGGATAATCAGATTCCAACTTCCTGGCTTTTACCTTGAGGTGGAGAGGTTTACGGCTACAAGGTTTTTCTCGGGAGGAGCTTTTTGCAATTCCCTTTCTTATGAATTCTCTGGCTTCTTCTTCTGCTTCTGCTTCATATTGCGCTGGCTGTAATTTTCTTTGCCATGGTTGATGTGCGCAAGGAGACTCCGTTGAACGCAGAAACAATTGACAAAAAACACAACGAAGCAAGTCGCTGGAACATGCCTCGTAAACCGTCTTGTATACACAGCAATGTGATTCCTAACCTGTAGCCCAAATCCCATCGACAAACTATCCAAACAGAAAAACTGTTTCTGAAGCCCAAACACCTTGTGCAGACGCCTGACAAAACTTCCAGAAAACCATGCCACAGAACCCTTGCAGACCCGTTGAAGATCGAGCACTGATCCTCACGGATCCTTTCAAAAATCCGTATATAGCGGCCTTCATGATTAGAAGGGTCTTGGGGTACATTATGCTCGAGTTATAATAAAGAACCCCCAAAATAGCATGGGTAACTATTGGTAAAAATTAAGGCCCCTATATTACACGAAGCTGCCTCCTCCACGCCGGGCGTCTGCACCTTCAGCCGGTAGATGCCCAGCCTCGGATTATGTTCGTCTCTTGAAGGCTTCCCAAGAAGGGGAGTTTCGGCGCTCTTCGGACAATCCAGGCGATGCATGTGACTCGGAGTCTGTTGAGTGAAACGTCCCCACGGGGAGTGTTCATGACGCATCCATCTCAAGGGGAGCTTAGGGTTTTGAGTTTAGGTTTACGCTCGTGCAACTCGGACATGCCGGACGAGGTCTCTGTGTTCGGGTGCACGACTACTCTACTAGGGTTTTTTGACACTCACACTCGGACAAAGCCTGGCAAGGTCTGCAGCGATACTGGTCTCGCTCGTTAACCGGCTATTTGGTAGGTGTCACCAAATTGCCACCCCACCATACATCCGTCCAACAGGTTTCGCCGGACAAATGATTGCGCTGTCAATCAGAACGTACCTGTAAGCCAGACACAAGTGTACAAGCATAGTTTCCCAACGTCATGTTGACAGCAGGTCCTACTAGGGTTTAGGGTTTAGGGTTGGTGCGCTATGGGTCTTCGTATATAGGGGTGGTAGTGCTGTTTTGCTTTGGGTTTCGGGCTTCGCTTTTAACTTCGAAGCTGGCTGTTGGGGTGTGGGTTTTGGGTTTTTTGCCTAGAGCATCTTCGCATGTGACAGCCTGACTTGGGGAACAGCTTTTGGTCGATAAGATCCATTGACGGCTTGTGGGACTGTTGAGATTAGGCTGCCCTCGAGTCTTAGAATCGGCGATGTCGAGCGAACACACCACGACGAGTCTGTCTCGCTAAGATGAACTACCTCGTCAGTGTAACTGCCGCCAACCGCAGTCCAAACACTACAACTCCAAACCGGAGCACAAGAGCCCCAACGCCTGCAATACGGCAAAAGGTACCGACCGGCCAATTGAAGCCGAAGCATCAGGAGAATTTGTGTTAAGCCCCAATTTCTCTCTGCAGTTATTTAGGTTGAAGGCCAAAGTGCCTGCGGCAGTTGGAAGGGATCAAGGGGGTTTGTGGCTTCGGGTTTACCTGTTGAGGCTGCTTCCCCAGAAAGCGCAATGGATTTCGACCCAAAAAGCAGCTCATGGCTGAGCGCCGCACTTCCAGCCTAACTTGTCCTGCAAGTCTTTGTTGGAAGTTGGAAGTCAGACATGCCATTGAGTGACATCCTCGCTACCATTCACCGTCATCTTTACCACCGTCGTCAGCACTACCGTCCGCCGTTTCTCATCACCATCATCCTCCTAACCATCGCCAGTGTCGTCTACATAGTCACCCGCATCACCATCGACACCATCGTCACATGTCGCCCCGGTGTCATCATCGTCATCATGAGTCGTCATCACCACCGTCCACATCACCAATCTAGTAAACATTTGCACATGTCTAAACACACATTTTGTACTTCTTCCGTGGCGTTAGGGGTCCGACCGCGCTCCACTTACTCAAACCACTTCACCGTATCATCTTGGGTTTAGAGTTTAGGGATGGTGGGTGTCGAAAGAAAGGATGAGCAGAACATCGACTTGTTGCTATGGCAGCTCCTGTCGCTGAAGTGGTTCGTACTTGATTTCCTAAACCCTCTTTAACCAAACCCTATAAACCTTCAAGCCTGAAACCGTAAGCCGGGCTTTCCCATGCACGGAGCTGGCGTTCTTGTTTGGCAAGGCCGCACTGTACAGTTGGGCCGGGTCTCATGATCAGAGGCTGTGCAACACTCCACAACTCGGCGGCTGCTTTAGGAATGTAAATTGCTACTTGTTGGAGAGTGGGCATCTCTCCAACGAGTAGTACAAACGCGGCCTGTGCTAGCACAACTCCAGCACGAACAGGGCACGCAAACTTCCTAGCGGGTTGCTACCTCAGCTAGGGAGGGACGTCGCAACCCGGTTGCTGACACACCGCGCTTCGCAGATTGTCGGCCAGCAAAGTGGGTAAATGGCGTTGAACCAGAACGCCGTTTGGCGAGCGGTTCCACAAGCAAGAAGTGGCTTGAAGTAACTGCTCTTCTTTTGGCGAATCTTCTCAAGGTTCACTGACTGCCTTCCCTATGCATGCTTCAGTGGCAGCGTGGCTACTCTCGGACTTTCCTACGAAACTGAAATAACTCTGCAGCCTCGTTCGTGCACTTCCTGCTTAAAAAATGAACTGTAAATACAAGCACAAGATTTTTCTTGGTGCTTTCCTGCAAAGCAGGCTTCGACGAAACGGGTTAGAGTACAGACAGTGGCAGGCACAGAAAATCTGCACCGGCGTATGCCATGAGCCGGGGGACCTGGTCGGAAGAGCAAAAGCAGACTCAGAACCTAAACCCTTTTTGCAGCAGGGCCTCGTTGTCCAGCAGCCCGGTTACCCTAAACCCTACCTAAACGCTAAAACCCTAAAACCCTAAAACCCGAAAACCCTAAACACTGAACCGGGCACGGCTCAGTTTTAGAGGCGTTCCTATCCACAGCTGGCAAGGCAAAGAGGCGCATAGATTGCCTGCTGGTTCCTACCCCGTCTGATCCTGCGACTGGTAAAACTGGGCTTTGCACCTTAAAGGCCCTCAGAGTACCACAAAAGCCCTCTGTGACAGGGCCCCCATTAAGGGTATAAGGGTACGAGAAAGGGTTCTATAATCGGGTCGCCCTTAAAGGATCCTCTAACTCACAGCAGCCCCCGCCTACTGATCGGCAAAGGTGCCGAACAGCTCCAGCCACTGCTTCAGCCTGGGCTTGGGACCAAAGTCTTTTTGAATTCCTTTTCATGGCTAGTTCTTAGAAGGGGCCCCCACCCTGTAATAGTGGTATAATAGGAATATAATAGGGCCCTAATACAATCCTTATAGTCACTATTACAGGGTGGGGGCAGCTTCTAAGCTAGTTCTCTAAATTACAATAGGGTCGCCTTCAGGGTCCTTATTAAAGGGGCGCCGTACTGTTGAGGACCCGAAACGGGACCCTAGCTAAGAGAACTACCTTATGTCTGCCCCACCAAGCCAGGGCTGGCTTAGGGGTCTAGGGCTCGGGATCTAGTGCTGGGGGTTAACGGTTCGGTGCTCAGGCTCAGGGTGTCGGCTGTCACCCTCGGTTGTCGAAGGGTTCTATACCCTTTTTGCAGCAGGCCTCGTTGTCCAGCAGCCCGGTTACAGCAAAGAGCCCCTCTGTATAGAACCCTAAACCCGAAACCCTAAACCCTAAACCCCCAGCCCTAAACCCCTAAACCCCTAAACCCTACACGGGCTGGGGTTTGAGGTTTGCCTAGACACCCTAAAACATTTATTGATCTCGGGTTGTGGGTCCGGAGTTTCGAGGACCTCGAGATGCTTTGGGGGATCAGACCTTCCGACAAAGTCCAACCCGGAACCAGATAGCAACGGTTTAGGGTTAGGGTTTAGGGTTTAGGGTTTAGGGCCACAAAATTATAGTAAAGATCTGTGAAAAATAACTACTGTCGGTACCTGTCTGTATCTTAATATCTCCAGAATTGGGACCACAACCCTAAACCCTCAACCCTACATCCTAAACCCACAACCCTAAACCCTACACCCTAACAGGTCTCGCTCTGGTAAGGTTGTAGGGTTTGGGGTTTAGGGGTTTATAGGGATATTTAAGAACTCAGCGCTCACCCTCAGACGATCCAGGCGCGGCATGTGGTTCGAGGACTGTTGAGCGAGACTTTTCTTAAGATTAGGTGTCTAGTGTTCAGGGTGTGAAGATGACGATGTCCGTCTGATTACGATGGTTTTTGAGTCGGAACGAACCGGGCAAGGGAGGTAAGCAAAGTGAAGCAAACCCTGAACCCTTAAGAACATCCCGACAAACCTGAAGAGTGAAACCCAGTATGCTACTGAGCCAACCCGTGGCGGAGCCGCTCGAAAATTGAAGCGTCTTCGAAGAAGACATTGATTGAAGTTTTGCTTTTTCGGCTTAGAGGGCTTCATTAACCAAACCAATCTGGAAGGGAATGGAAAAGAGCCTAGAATTGTGTAGTTCTGCGGCCATATCACCGCATGAAGGGCACTACCCCACCAATAAACCTAACCCCCAATGCAAGGGTCTACATCACCTCTACTATTCCATTCGGTTCCTGATCATGATCATAGCTATACTGTAATCCACCCCAAAACCGCGATGATGAGGGCGCGTCGAAACCCCAAAACCCTACCCCAAATCCCGAACCCCCTCAGCCGTCCTCTTATAACTATACTACAATCCACCCCTAAACCCTACACCCTAAACCCAAAGCCCTGCTCCAATCATGAAGACCGCATGCTGGATCCTCAACCGGGCTGCTCTCTGGCTTCTTCTCGTGGCCCGTGTGCGCAAAGGACTCTAGCAGGCCCTTCGCCAACGGTTTAAGTTTTTTGTTTAAAAGTGCAGTGGGGTTTAAGTTTAGGGTTTAGGGTTTAGGAATTAGGGTTTGGCTTGGGCTTTTTGCCACTCGGTTTGGGGTTGTGGGGTTAGGGGTTCAGGGCCGTAGGGAAAGTTTAGGGTTTGAAGTTTTGGATGTGCTGTTTCGGGCTTAGGGCCTAGGGGGTTAGGATCTCGCTCAAAAGTCTAGAGTTAAGGGTCTGGGGCACTGTTTGATTCTGCATTTTGGAGCCCTCACGGCCATACAGATCCAAGACGTTTCGTCCCCGAAAATTGCTGCGAAACCCTCCAAACTCGCTGAAGCCTTCTGTATCCACGTGTCTCTTATCTGTGCAGACCGTTTCTTGTATCGCCTAGAATGCTACAGCTGGTTAGCTGGTTGCTTTTAAAGCCTCTAGTAAAGACTCTAGTATGTCCTTTTGAGAACTTTCAGAAGCGGATCTTACAAGGGGGCTCACCAAAAAAGGTCCTTTGCAAATACCGCACCACCCTTTCAAGAAGCCCGTAGAAAAACTTGTCTTGAAACAGCACTCAAGCTCTGGGGTTGCCCTCAGGCCTTATGGAACGTCAACGAGCATGCTCAATATTTAGGGATTTAGGAGTTTCCGAATATAGGGGACCCTAATATAGCACCCTAAATAATAGGATCCTTGTTATAAGGACCCCCAATAAGGTACCCCTTATTTTCGGAAACTCCAATTTAGGGTTTAAGTTTAGGGGATACCACCAATGCGAGAAGAAGGCGAAGAAGTGATTGGAGCTGGTGAGTACTGAGACGAAGGATTACCCAGAGACGCCAATATCCCTTGATTAAGGAATCTTCCTTAAATCATATTAAGGATCCTATTATAATTTAAGGTATATTCCTTAATTAAGGGATATTGGAGTCTCTGGGTAATAGTTGAAACCCAATCAGAAGCGTCAATTTGTCACAGAGGGAAGTGTTGACAGTTCCAGCAATCGCAATACCCTTAAACAGCAAGCACTTCAACGAAAACCACTAAACTGATGTACATGTCGTCATCACCAGCATCCTCACCACCATCATCACAACTTCCCTGCGGTCCGAGAACAAGAACCCACAAAGGGCAAACACCTTCGGCCCCTTTCCCCTGGGGCGCGGCAAACTCCCGAAGACCCCGACCGCCTGAGACCGAAACCCTCTGACAAATCCCAAACAGTACTGCGACCTGAAGCGCTGAACCCCAACAACTTATAGTTCAAGGTAGCGCTAAGCCCCAACAACTTGTAGTTAAGGGATGTTTAGGGTGTAGAATATACCTAGCACCCCCGTTCCAACCCTCCGCAGCCGGAGCCTTGACATCCGAACCCAGTGCCAAATTTAGGCTCATTACCTCGATCTTCTTGCGGCTTCAGAAGTTTAGGGTTTAGGGGTTTCGGGGTTTAGGGTTTAGGGGTTTAGGGCTTAGGGTTTAGGGGTGCAGGGGTTTAGGGGTTTAGTACGTTGGATCTTCAGGTGTTGGGATGCTCGTGTACGCAAAGCAGAAGGGGTTCAGAAGTTTGGGGCTGCTTCTACGGCTTCTACGGCCTGCGACGTAAGGCATCCTTGCGAAAAAGACGCGTTCGTTGTCTTTGCATGATTCCACCTACATTTTGACTGCTGGCCTCCTCTGAGATACGTGGATAGATCGAGTGGTCTGAGACTTGACAAGCGCAGAAGATAGACGACCGAAGATAAACGACGCTCTAAACACTAAGTCCTTGACCCTATAAAACCTATACCCTAGGCCCTAAACCCTAAATCCTTCACACTATCCCCAAAGGTACCTATCAGTGTCCGCGGAGTGTAGCCGTTTTGGGCTTCCACGTCTTCTTGGCCATCAACTCTCCTCCAGCAAAGCCCGACCGCACCGCTGATCAGTAAGTCAAGTCACATAGTTCCGCAAGTCGTTAATGGTCAGCGCTGCGCCCTCCTCACCGGGGAACCAGGGCCTATCCCAAGACAAACAGCCTGAACTCCCCAGAGAGCCCAATACCCCTTAATTAAGGAATATGGCTTAAATTATATAGGGGTTCATATTATGATTTAAGCCATATTCCTTAATTAAGGGGTATTGGGCTCTCTGGGTCTTCGAGCTCGAAACCCAGCAGCCGACAAAGCATCCTGAGCTTGATGGCTTCGATTTCGCCAACTTCGAGCAGCCCTTCACAGAAACCCTGAACTCCCAAAATGCAGACCCATAAGCCTCGGCTAGGCTCTCTATGCCCATAAACCCACAGGGTTCCTCCTGGCGCTTACACTTCTCGAAGATCTCCATTGCCTCGCAGGCAGGGATTGCTCAGCATGCAAGCTGGCAATGCTGCTCGAAAGTACTATAAGAGCCTGATTAATTTGAATAGGGCATTCGGGGGTCCAGGATACCTCTACACATTGTATATATATATATATGTATGTAGTGTGTAATGATAACTGGTTATTTTTGAACCTATATTACACTTCGGGATTGGGCTTATGCGCAGGCTTCTGGATTTTAGCTTGACGAGCTCTTTGCTTGGCCTTCGGGCCTACAAGAACCATGACGATGCACAGCAACACTAACAGCATAAAATCACTACACTCGCGATTGCAGCAATGAGACTTGCTGAAGTACTCACGAAAAGACAAAGATCAGTTACCTCCTGCTGGTCGAATTTGCATATGCACCTGGCAACTAATATAGATTAGAATAGTGGCTGGCGCACATTATACTGTATACTTGCAGTACGGAGCTCTACGGTATGCTACTGGCAATTATTCCGGTTTCTGCATGATATGAGCGTCTGTCAAAACTTCTTGTTCATGGCTAGACCATGGATGATTTCGGGGGGTCCTATCGCTTTACAAGGATTCCGTCACGTGTTTCTGTGAGGTATCGCTTTGAACTTGTGAAAGTAAGAAGACCATCAGACTCGCTGATCCTGCTCGTAGCTTGCCCTGTGGGCAGTGGCTCATAAAACGATCTAGTAGGTATCGATTAGGGTATCGATTGGGTATCGATTAGGGTATCGATTGCCTAGCCATATATCACACAGAAAATCTAGGCACAAATACCGCGGATCCTCATTAATCGTATCGCTTTTGGGGGGGTCCTATCGCTTTCCAAGGAAATTGGCAAAATCCGAATTCCACGGTCACCCTACTCTTAACTACAATTACGGAAGTTTTGACGGATGCTCATATGATAACTCATGTTCAGCCGATCGCCCTAAACCCTGGACCCTTATAGAACCCTCGTCATAGATCCCCCAGGGATGCCTTGAAAAGCTTCCCCTAAACCCCAAACCCCTAAACCTCCCTAGTCTGCGCCTTCTCTGCCGGCAGCTGGCCGACGTCCACGAGCTCGGAAAGGCTGAGGTCACCACTGGCGTCCACATCCAGGAACTCGAACCTTGCTCTTAGGGCTGAGGGTTTAGGGTTTGGGGTTTAGGGAACTCGAACCTTGCTGCTTATTTTTGGAACTCGAAGTGTGGGGTTCTCGAACCTCGTTGTTCAGCTAGGAATTGAAGGGTTTAGGGCTGGATCTTGTAATGCAGCGGCCTTAATAAATAGAATCGGATCTTGGTGTACAGAAAGTTTTAAGTACTGATCCGGGCACCTACAGTAGGATGTTCAAGGTCCTATGAAGGGCTCAGGGTTCTTGATGAGTTCTATTCTAGTAGACTATGTAAATGTTTAGAAAAGGGTTTTGGTGTATGTGAAAACTACAGCTACATGGAACAAAAAATGGGATACTGTTGCTGTTTGTTACTACCCATATAGTCGGGCTTTAAGGTTAAATAAAGGTATAAGGAGCTCTTGAAGGGTTTGTGGCTCCATTAGAGCTGATAAAGGATGGAAGGGCTTGGATTTTAGGGTTTGGGGTTTGGAGCTTAGAGAACTGCAACCCCGGTGTTCAGGGCTTATGATTCAGGGTTTAGAGTTAAAGACAAATCGAATGATTGACGTGGTAAAAGGGCTTTACGAAGGGCTTATGCAGGTTTCAGAGGCCCGGTATAGGGTTTCGGAGGGCTTGATAGGGCCTTGTAGGTTTTACACGAATCTTATAGTCTTATAGGTCTTATCAGAATTCGAGAGGGTTCCATGAGGGTTCATGGAAAAGCTTTCTCGGGAGTGAAGGATTCTAGTCTTGGCCGCAAAGATTGAAATCTTATATAGTCAAAGTCAAAAATCTTGTTTTCGTATATAATCAGCGAACTGTTTTTTCCAAACCATGGAAACCCCGAAAGCAAACCCCAAACGCGGACCCCCCAAACAGCGGCCGGACACCCTCAACCCCAACACTAAACCTTAAACCCCGAACCCTGAACCCTAAACCCCAGAATTGAACAAAAAAAAGTTTGGCTGCATGGAGGCTCAGCGGCTTTCGGTTTCGGGCAGGAGGGTTAAGGCGCAGGTCAGGGCTCTGAATTATGAAGTTGCAGGGCTTAGGATTTGGGGTGGAGAGTTTCCGCTTTGGATTACAGAGTTTTGGGTTCAGATTGAAGCCTTCGGGTGCAGACCCTGACGTTAGGTAGGGGCCAACGTACAAGGTTTCGGTAAGGGTCGAGCCTTGGGCTTCTCTACCTCTCCCCGGACGGCATAAAAAGCTGTGATGCATGGTCAGGGCTTTGTGAACAAGGACTGACAGCCGAGCCAAGCAGTTGCTAAGGCTTAACGGTCCCGCCCATAAGAAGCCTCCTTTTAGAATGTCTCACCTAACTTCATCCTGGCTTGAAGCCCATGAGACCTTGCATACTTTTGTCTCGATTCTTGATGAAGGCGCTTACAGAACAAGACAGCCAGAGGGCAAAAGGGCAAGGTCCTCATCCTTCAGCGCGGCCGCCTTTCTTGAGAGTCGCTGGGGGTCTTACACGTCTCGGTACCTCTCTCTCTTCTCGCTCTCTCTTCTCGGTTCTCGGCTCTCACATGCTCACGTCTTTTCGCTGTTTTCCCTTGCTCGCTTCGATCGGTGGCCCAAGAATACACCTGGAAAGCCTCAGCTGGAGCCTCAACATCGAAACAGCCTGGCGAGAATCGAGCTGCACACCCAAGCCCCTGAACGCGCAATTCCCTAAAGCCAAAACCGCGCAACCCTCATCAAAGCCTCTACCCAGCCAAAGGAACCCTAAACGTTCAACCCTGAAACCTAAACCCTCAACCCGAAACCATATATCCTAAACCCACAGTATATTATAGAAGATCATCGTAGGGTCGGTTATAGCACACTATGGTATTTGATAGACTATAGTAGAGTAGATTATCATATATTCTGAAATATAGTAGGTTATATTTGGGTAGATTATGATACATTATGGTATACTATTGCTTCTGGTAGAGTAGGTTTGGCAGTTTATGGTGTATTATAGGTTATAGTAGAGTAGATTACAGTGTATTCTGATCTAATCTAGTAGAAGCCCCCAATCCCGAAACCCTCCATACTTACCTTTGGTTAGTAGGGAATGGAGGAATGGGGTTCAATTATAACTACGATTACTACCATTCTTCCATTCCCTACTAACCAAAGGTAAGATATAGGATTATTAAGGCCCCCATATTATAGTACCCTTATAGATCCTCGATCCCCTTATTATGTAACCCTTATAGACCCCTTTATAAGGCCCCTTCCATTCCCTACTAACCAAAGGTAAGCATGCCGACCTCCAGCTCGCCGAGCTGGTGTAGCACCTTCCCAGGCTGCGGCTCTGAGGTTCTTCGTCTCAAGGTTTACAGTATTGGTTTAGGGTTTAGGGTTTAGGGTTGAGGGTTTCCGACTCGCACGCTCGCTGACTCCAGAAACTTGGAATATGGTTTCATGGTAGGATACCCTATAATTTACCAATAGAAGGGTTAAGATATTCCAACTTTCTGGCTTTTACCTTAAAGCATTTTGTCAAGGGTTGAGGTGTTTTAAGCATTTTTGCGGGTTTCTACACACTCACACTCGGACAAAGCCTGGCAAGGTCTGTAGCCTTTTTGCGGGTTTAGGGTTCAAGGATACTTAGAGTTAAATTTTTGGTGTAGGGTTTGGCGGTTGGGCTTCGTTTTTTTTTTAGGTTTCAGCTCGTGGCTCCCCCAGGTGGAGCTTGAGGCTCGTGAGGGCTTGGGTTGCTTACTGCTTCGGGCTTGGGGTGTTTAGGGTTTAGGGCTTACAGTAGAAGCCAGAAAGTTGGAATATCATTATCGTAACCCCTTTAAGGTAAATTATAGGGGATCCTACCATTAATCCATATTCCAACTTTCTGGAGTTCCCTTTAGGGGTAGGCGCTGGGGCATCTTTCGGTTTTTTGGGCTCCTGCATTGCTGAGCGAATCACTAGGCACGGGCTGGAGGGTCGGGTTTGGGGAATACGGAGTAGGCTCAGACACCCGAACCTGATCAGCCACACGCGTTTGACCGTAAGGTGCTAAGCCTTAGGTATAGGGACTTAGATAACCAGAAATCTCGGATATCTTTAGTATAAAGCAAAACACGCGTGGACTACAAGTTTTGATTCTTCACCCCTCTATGCCTTAATAAGTAGAGTAGGGTTTTGGGGCTTCCTTATTATAATACAGTATATACTCCCAAGCCCTACTCTGATTACTAAGGGCTCTGCATTAAGCCCCTAAGCGCCCCCAAAACCTGTGAAAATAAACCTGTGAAAAGCCCTTTCCCTAAACCCTGTGCACACACTTGTATATGCCGCCCGGATCCCAAAACCCTGAACCCCAAAACCCAAAGCCCTGACTGAGCCCTAAACCGAACCCCAAACCCAAAACCCTGAACCCCAAAAAAACCCAAACCACAAAGCCCTTGGAGCCTCCAGTGCCCGGAACACGCGGCACCATGCCAGACAGCCCTCGATGTGCGATGGGGTCAAAGATGGCAGACCTCGTCTGATGCTGGGCTTATAGGGAACTCCAGAAAGTTGGAATATGGATTAATGGTAGGATCCCCTATAATTTACCTTAAAGGGGTTACGATAATGCTGTTCCAACTTTCTGGCTTTTACCTTAGAGCTTTGGGTTTCGGGTTTAGGGCTCTAGGGTTCTAGGGGTGATGGCAACGCACCAGCTGCTTTAGGGTTTAGGGTTTAGGGTTTAGGGTTTAGGGTTTAGGGTTTAGGGTTGCCTGGACACCGAATCCTAAACCCAACGTCTTTTTTAGGGCCGAGCTCTGGTCCCACAGTACTTAAAGGGCCATGGGACTTAGTAACTCGGGTTATAACTAGGGTAACTATACTTATAACTGTTTATAACCCCAATTAAGGTACTTATAACCCCACTTACTAAGTCCCATGATCCTCCAAGTACAGGCTCTTGGAGCGATACCCTCGAACCAACATGTTCAGGGAACGAGAAATGTCAAACCCCAAGCCCTAAAACGAGTAAACCCCAAACTCCAAGACGAGGACGGAGGCAGGTCAATACTTCGAATCTAAACTCCCGCCCACACTGTGAAACCAGGTAGGCTGCCATTTTAAGGGGCTGAGAAACCCCAGACCAGACACCCTCACGTCTTGAAGTTGCATATGTGGGGGAACGAATCCTCGCGCCGGGCAGCTAATGCACAGGAAACATCGGACGGTGATCGGCCCGCTGTCCAGACTCTCCTCAAGCACCGCACACCCGCAATTTTGGCAGGGTTGGGCTTGGGGTTTAAGGCTTTAAGGATCTGGTCGCGAGTTGTGCTATGCTGAACCTTTCAACACTGAATACAGGTCCTGGCGAGTTGAGGGGGGAACTTGACATGGAGAAGAACTGCCAAGAATCCGTTTAAACCTCAACCGCTAAAACCTTTCAGAACGCAGCTTACGGGCTGGGGCCACCCTACCCTACCATCGCTCCGGGCGACAAATTCCCCACACCCAACTGAGGGCTTCAGAGCATCGAAGTCGTGGCAAAGGGTCAAGACCACGGCAAAGGTTCTGGACCCCCCCCCACCCCCACCCGCCAGGGTCTAGGGTTTCGACGCTCGCAACTTGCCCAAGGCAGGCAAGGGCTCCGCAGATTCACGCCGACTCTAAAAGAAAGTGGCGAGCGGTTTAGGGTTTTAGGGTGCATTGCAGGTTCCTACAGTCTGGTCTGAGCATCCTCCTGGTCAACACGCAGTGCCCCGACGGATCTTCTCTGTAAAGGAAGAGCCTACGAATCGTTGAGGCTGCTGTTGGGCCCTCAAGCTTTCTCGAACTCCTCGCTCTTGTGATTTCAGCTTACGGCTTACAGCTCTTTGGTATAGAGTTGCGTGTCTGCCGGTGACGATTCGAACCGGTCTGGTACTTGGTACAGGGCTCAGAGTTGGAGAGCTGATTGCTTAGGACTTGGGTTCGGATTTTACAGTCTGTCTTTAAGGTTTCGGGGCTTCAGGTTGGGCCAAGAGCAAGAACAAAGCGGCAAACCTCCGACGCAGATGGCTGACAGGTTGAAGAGTTTCGTGCGTAAGTAAGCTCCGACTCTTTGTTTGAGCTTGTTCTGTGGTATTTCTGTGCCCAAACCCCTGCTCACCTAGGTTCATGGCGTGTAGAGGTGCGGCTGTGAGCCCACCCCGTCGCGTAGGGTGCTTGGTGACGCATTCGTGTGTCGTAAATACTTAAATTGTTAATTTAACCCCCCAACTTATGCTTCCAACCCTTTGCAGCTAAACCCTCAGCCTAAACGGTACAACCGCCAAAGCATGCTCGTAACTCTTGGCATTGGTTCATGTTGCTTCAGCTTCCTCTGGACCTGCAAAGGGCTGGCAAATGTTTCCGGCGGGCTCACAGGATGTTTATATAGGGGTGTCAACATAAACACGTACCTACGAAACCGACTGAGTGAGCTCAGCGACACCCACACACCATAGCCTTCGTGGCCCATGCTAGTTTGGCATGCATGCACATAAAGATTGCATAAGTAAATGAGAACCTAGAAGGACACAGGACCCTGGTTCATGATCCTGCTGCAAGGCCGTCGCGCAGAACCGAGGCGGCGACACTTTGGCCAAGCAGAACGACCTATTTATAAGGGGCCGGAATAGCTAGAGTCGGGTTTTAGGGCCCATTATACTATAATTATACTACAATTATAATAAGGAACCCCCCCCCCAAAAAAAAATAGTAGAGGTGAATATTTTTAAGCCCCTAAAGGATGGCAAGAGCTCAAAGCCCAGGTCTCTTGGCAGCGAAGGCTCTAGGCGCTGCACCAGGTGCTGATCGGTGAAAATTATTTGGAACCTCGGCTCACGGTTTCGGGCCCGGTGTAGAGATTAGGGTTTAGGGTTTTGGGCTTTGGGTTTATGGTTTCGGGTGTTTTTTCCCTCTCGCGGGTTTCGGGTTTAGGGTTTCGGGCCTCGACTTGTTCAGATGCTGCAAACTTCGGGGTGGCAGAGATTGCAAGGCCCAGAGCCACCATCTCGCAACAGAGGCAGGAAGTGTCGGAGCTGGGCAACAAACAGACAAACACTCCATTTTCGGAATTCCAGATCCGAAGTGCTCAAGATCACGAACCCCTGCGAAAGAGTCTCCCGGCCATGGTAGCTATCTATCGTGCGAGTGCCTGTTTGGCAGTACCAGCACAAACTTCAATCATGTATCAGCTGCATAGTACGCGCAGCGGCTCGTTGCTGTCGTGCTCTTCTTCGTGATGCGGTTGATGATATCAATCCTGCATTACCCAAAATAAGGAATGTATCATCATTCCCATAGTTTAGGGTCCTTAAGGTAATGCAGGATTTCTATCATCCACCGTAGTACTGGTAGCAGCTCTAGTTGCACTGCTAGTTGCAGGTGTGGTTGCAGCTGCAGTTCTTGCTGTACACGCACTGGCACTTGATGCATGTCTCTGAACACGGCAGCTTCACAAAAAGCTTGAGCCGTGGCCGTTTTCTTCAAGAGCTTTGAGCACGGAAACCTTGAATCCCGAGTTGAAAACATGAAGCGCTAATCCAAACTCTAAGCCCTAAAACCTCCATCCTTAATGCAGCTGGGCAGCTCTTGCGACAATTTGTCGACCTCCATTGCGAATTTCTGAGGTCCCTCGGGGGCTTCGACATCCGCACTTGCCTGACAGGGAACCACAGGGTTTAGGGTTTCTTGACACTCACGCTCGGCATAACCAGGCGAGGTCTGCAGACAATTCTAGATGCAGGAGAAGGGCATTACCAACTCCCAGCACTGTCACTTCCTGATCCAGGGTTTAGGGCTTCACAGTATACTTCTGTTTCTGAAGTTTCAGATGTCGACCTGGTGCAAACACTGAAATAGTCTGAATGTAATCAAACGCATGTAAAGTTTACGTTGCTGCACAATGCATCTCTGTGTGTGTGTGTGCGTGTGTTTGCTTGATAGTTTCTTCGTTCGTTAGTTGCCTAGCGTGCATGTGCATGTGCATCTGCACATGTACAAGTTGGAGCAGACTTACCTGTGATCAACACCACGGCTTCGGGCGTAGTCGCCAAAGCCCGGGCATAATGTTTAGTCGTACATGGGTAATTCTCTAAATTAGGGACCCTTTTACCCTACTCTTGATAAGGGTGCCGTACTCTCCCCATTTCAAACCTTCTCCCACCCCTGAAGTTTGAAGCAACGATCCGCTACCTAATCTCAAAAAGAACCAAATACTTCGCACGAGATAAGATCCCTCACCTCCGTTTGGGTGGTGTGCGCAAAAGCTGCGAGTGGGTTAAGGGGGTTCGGTGTTAGAATTTAGGATTATCCCCAGCTCACAGTAGTCTTCGGTGGTATATCCTAAACTCCAAACCAAACCCTGAACCCTGTGTAGGGCCCAACAAACTTTTCATCGCCTCTGTCAAAGCCCATGGCTCGTAGTTCTTCGCTTCCCCCGCGATTTGGAGAAGCTCCTGCTTGCATAGCGGTTCATGCAAGGCTTTATGGGTTTTTTGAACAGGGTTGCGTCGAGTTAGAACGACGCATGCAAAGTTGCCTAACAGGCGGTCTATGATCCATGGTCAATGCAATGAGGCTAGGCCCAAGAAGCTTCGGCAAACTCGGGGCAAGATTCACCTGAACTTGAAGCGTTCGATATCTTTCTGCCCCGCGGGGCTTTAGGTATTTCAGCAGGCTTCGCATCACCACGAAACAGCACTTTCCATGTAAGTGCCCGGCACCGAGAGCCCTGAACCCGAAACGGATAAGCCCATAAGTCCTTTTGCACGGCTTTGGAATCCTTCAAGCAGCTCCTCGGCTCTGCTTGGATACACTAATGTAGGGGCCTTCATAATTAGAATAGGGTTTTGGGGTCCATTATATACTATAATAAGTATGATAAGGAACCCCCTAGAATAGTATGGGGAATTATTTAAGCCCCTATTACAGGTATGAAGAGCGGTAGGAAGCGAACGAGCGTTCCAGTTGTATGGTTTCGCGGGATTTGGATGAAGGTGCCTGCCGCATGCTGACACCATTGCATCAAGGTTCGTAAATTCAAACTCACCTTCCTTGGGAGGGTTTTGCCAGAGCTGTGTGGACGCTGTGGATGTTTGCTGCTACACGTCACCACAAGACTTGAAATGGAAAGGGTAGTTAGGTCGTGCCAGTCTTGCGGTGTGAACTTTGAGGTTGTGTACTACGATGCTGATACATTATCTTACGCCCGTGTTGGGCTGGGCCTTCTTCTGGCTCTAGTGGAGTGCCGGCGAACTTGAGTCTGTGGCAAACAGCTGCGATCGCATGGTTCTCAGACACATTGTTGTAACCGTTGTTGTTCACGATGCTTCTTTGCAAGGTGTCCACTAATGTTGTTTGCAAATGCCTTGCTTACAGACAAGTTTACGCATGCCTAATTCTTCTACGACGCGACTGCACATTCAAGTCGTGGTTTTCCAAGGCACGCGAACGGCTGCTTGCACCGTGTTGTGGTAATTTGATACAACGGGAACCTACTGGTGTTGCCGGTCCACCACTCGTACGCCATCAGTGTCATTGCGCGTTTCTACGACAGGGACCGGGACTGTTTAACGTTACTGCTACTGCAGCTCCAGTACTTGTATTGTTCCACGTCCATGCATATCTGTCAAATCGGCTCGTGGGCTTGCATTGCGTTATACCACTATTGTTGACACCATAAGCCAACCACGGAAACCCTCAATGAGTGGCCGGGAATCTGAACTTTCTCTGCATCTGCGATGGCCTTGCCGCCCGACCTGGGGCGCTCTTTGGCTTCGAGGCTGAAGACATGGGACCGGTGGGTTACCAACATCAACTGAAGCAGCAGCCACGACTTTTGTATTCAAACCACACCATGTGGTGACTGCATCATCAGTGACGGCGTCCTTCTCGAAAGATCCCGAAACCTCTAGAATTGGCGTGATAACTGCCTGGAGAGTTCCCTCTTCACTGTGTCGACACAAGCTTCTAGAAAAAGTATCTACACCTCCACTACCACTACCACTACTACGACTACTACTGCTACCACCACCACCACCACCACCACTACGACGACGACTACTACTACTACTCTGCTGATGCTACTGCTACTGCCACTACCATTAGTACTACTAGTACTGCTAGCACCACAAGTACCACTGGTACCACTACCACTCCCGCTGCTACTGCTTCTGCTACCGCTACGGCTACCGCTACTGCTACTGCTACTGATACTGATACTGAGACTGAGACTGGTACTGATACTTCTTCTTTTCCGGTCTGTTGAAGCTTGGGTTTAGGGCTTCGGGGGAGAAGGGCTTTGTCGCTGATTTTTCTATGTACACAAGGTTTAGGCTTTAGGGTTATTTGTGAAGGCTCTGAACCTTTCGAAGTAGAACCTTGGAAGATGGCCGGTGTGACAAGACTTGTTAATTCTGGGAGGCAGATGGGCCTAGCGGTTTGAAGTCAGCCCTTCACAGATCTGATCTGCAACACTTGGTCGGGGCTTGGCAAACCGAAGCTCCCAAAGCAGTCGAGCAGCAAGTGCCGGAAGAACTTCCAAAGCAGCCAGGCATGTGCCTTGGAGATCTCTGAAGGTGGCGTCCACACCTCGACAGGGGCAAGGTCGCCACTGCTACTGCTAATGCTGCTGCTGCTGCTGCTGCTGCTGCTGCTGCTGCTGCTGCTGCTGTTGTGCATTTGGCAATGGCATGGTTTTAACTTCACCATCATCTTCAGCAACGTGACCTTGTCTGTGCGGTAATCTCAGTACGATGTCCAGTGACCTGATTAACTCCCGATTTCTCATCACGACACTAGACAGCCGCATGACTCCGGGAATAGTCGAGAACTAGAAATGTCAAGCCAAACTTCACACTCACAACTCTGAACCTGTCAGACCAACAAAGTTCTGAACAAACACTATGGCGCATTATTTTACAGTATAGCATAGTACAGTGTACTATACTACAGTACGGTGCAGTACAGTATTTTCGTATACTACAGCATCTGCAGGTTTAGAGCAGTGTCTTCAAGACCAAATCCAAATTTGGCCGAAGCTGCGGGATTCATCCGGAAAGACGGGCCACGCTGCCTGGGAAGATTGAGGGCTCAGGGCTCAGGGCAGCAAACTACAATCTTTCCGATTTCCCGCATTTTGAGACGCGTAGGTGCTGAGTTCAAAAGCCCAGCAAAGTGCACGCATTTCACTTTCAATGGGCGTCTCACCTCAGCGTAGTTCTTCATCTCTACAACCTCGTACTCCACGTTCCGTCAGGCCGTTTACGAGCAAAGTCGATTAGGATTAGGGCTTGTTGCCGTAGGATTTAGGGCCTCAGGTTCAAGTCTTAAGGTTTAGATTTAGAGTTACGGCTTGGTGCTCTGGGTTTGGATTTAGGGTCCCTGAAGCCCGGCCATACGCCCCTGATTGAACTTTCCTGGGATTTCCTTTTTGCTGAAGGCTTGCAAGGACGCCTGGTAGTTTGCCGCTCTTCCGCCAGTTAGGACTGTGCTCGTGACAGTGCCCCTAGCTTCTGAGCATGCGACTGAGAGACCTGACTGAAAAGGCATATTAGTCCGAACTTGTCGTAAGCATGTTGGTGAATGGCACACAATTGAGGATAATACGCGAGCACATGATCATCCCGTACCTGGGAGTTCCTGAACCCTGGAATCCGAACCACCCCTTCAGCCTGCATCCATCGTCTTTCCGGAAACCCAACAAACCTTAAACTCAATGCCGCCGACTCAGGAATCCCACAATGATGTCAAGCCTCCAGGAAACTTGTCCTTGTCACAACCCTCTCCTTCTCTCGACGTCTCTCTCCGACTAGCTAAGACCCAGACTTAAACCCCGAAAGTCTCGCAGATCCTGTATTTACAGAAACCCGGATCACTAAACCCAAGGTGCTATACAACTACTGGTAGCACCAGTATGGGATAGGACCCACAAATGGAATCCGTTTAGTAACTCTTAGAGGAACCCTGTGAGGAACCCTTGAAGGAACCCTTGATAGGATCCTGTATAGAACCCGTAAGCATGTCCCTACGCCCGAAACCCTACCCCCAAACCCCAAAAACCGTGCACTTCAGGGTTTCGGCGCTCACACTCGGACAATTTAGGGTTTAGGGGTTTCGGGTTTAGTGCATGTCCGGCCCGTGCCTGCCCCTCAACTTCACATATGCGACGCTGCCGCACCAAGTGCCTCGGAAGGGTTCCCACTTTAAGGGCTCCTCTACCGGTTCCCATTTTGGGCGTCAAAGGTTTTCCGCAAGGGTCCTTTAAGAGCTCCTACAATCAGGGTTGCTGTACAGATTCTGCGGGCTTGCGGAGTCTGGGCTTTCGCAACCGGATACCTTAACCCGATACATCAGTTCAAGAGTGTGGCCGGCGCGGTGGAACACACAACCTAAACACAAGGATAGTCAAATATCCTAGAGTCCTAGAACTCCTAGAACTCCAGGTTCACAACACGGTGCATCTGTCCTACTGCAAGTTTATTGGCATTCAACTTCGCTAAAGCGACGTTCCCCGCGCGTTCCCACAACCAGAAACCCTTGACTGGACTCTTTTGGAAAGCCAAAAACCATGAAGCCTCTAATGTAGGGGGTTTGAATAATCAGACTGAGGTTTGCGGGTATATCGTACAATAATACAAAAAGGAACCCCCCAAAAAAACTATTCTAATCATTAGGGCCCCTACATTACCCTAGCATCCCAAAACCCTTAACACTTTTGGCCTGATTTTATCACGGCAGTGAACACCCATATGAAGCACTAAGGCCTGCTCCTTGATTTTAGGGGGTGTCAGGGTGTTTGTGCCTCCTGTTTTGGTGTTTGGGGTTAAAGCCGCAAACTGCAGCCACGCTGCCCTTGTCACCATTCATGTCTGGACGCAAGTGCGAGCAAGCAGAGGTCGTACGTCTCCTCCACACATCAACGGCCTACCTTACCTTCGTGTTTTGGTCAAGGGTTTCTGGTCTACTTCGCTTTTGACAAGACGATATGTGTTTTTCAGGGTTTCCTGTTGACGTGGCCTGCGTTCTCGGATGTTGGCTCCCCATGCCGCGTGGTGGCAGCCGACGACCATGAAAATGAGGATGCTGAAGAAGCAAGAAGAACCATCACTACTTCCAAGCACCATCATAGATCTGATTTCCGCTCCCACCATGCGACTCTTGAAATGTTGCAAGCGCACCGGTTGTAAAGCTGCGAAGACACAGCCAAGATGTGAGGACGAATCTATTTGCCATCGCCTGCTATCACCACTGACGAAACAGTTGTATTTACCTGTCGTTGTTCTTGCCACCCTGCAAATTCTTCCCTGCTTGGCGTTTTTACTGCTGCAAGAAGGGTGAAAGTGTTGCAGTCGCTACGAGTAGTGGATCTACGATGTCAACTCTGAAACCCCGAGGCCATACACCATAACTCCCTACATGCAAGGCTCGAAAAACCCAAAATGCAAAACACTGAAAAACCTGAGCCCTGAGAGCTGACCGTCACCTATGCCTACCATCGGGGGTTGCTAGAGTGAGCTACTCGAAAACCTATGAGAGTTACTATACAGAGCTACCTTGGGGGTTTCTCTGGGGGTTTTAAACCATGGAGCCCTCTACCTGATTCCTTGCGCGGTATCTTGGCAAAATCTCAGGCATCTCGTTCTTCCGACCCATGCTAGAGGAGCTTCTGCCTTGCTTGTATATGTAGAGGAAATAGCTGGAAAGTAAGCAAACCCCAGCAGACTCCATGAAAAACAAGATTGGCTGGTAAGCACCTGTGATACCCTGTAAACCCCAAGGCCAAAATTGTGAACGCTTACCCCCAAGGCTCTGCCCTATAAGGGACATTCAAGAAGTCCTGACGCGACAGCGCTCGGTGGGCTTCTCTGTGTCGGGAGGAACCAATGAGAACCTGCGAAACAAATTCATAAGGCCTGAGGTTAGCTTGGCTCCTGTTAGTATGAGGCAATAGGAGTGTCGTCAGGACATCCTCCTTCCGTTTTTCTTCGTAGGCAGCCCGTCGTCCTCGCCACGAGTAGCAGTAGGAGCAGCAGCAGTAGTAGCAGCAGGAGTAGCAGCAGGAGTAGCAGCAGGAGTAGTAGTAGTCGTCGTAGTAGTAGTAGTACATAGTACTACTACTACTCCTCCTCCCTCCTCCTCCTGCTGCTGCTGCCGCTGCTGCTGCTACTGCTCCTGCTCCCGCTCTTGCTCCTGCTCCTGCTACTGCTACTACTACTATACCACTACTACTACTACTTCTTCTACTACTATTCGTAGTAGCAGCAGTGCTGTAGCAGTAGTCGCAGTAGACGTAGCAGCAGGAGGAGGCGTCGTGTAGCAGTGCCTATGCTACTGCTACACGACGCATCCTCCTGCTGCTGGGCCGAGCAAAAAGGCTGTAGCGTGGAATTGGATTTTATGCCAAAAAGCTGTCTGTCACATGAAGCAGCTAATGGAAATCTTGTGCTTTTTGCTGCAAGTTTAGTTGTGGGGACATTGGAAGAAAAGGTGTGGCGCTTCTCTCTGCCTGAGAGGCTTCATGCTAAGCTGCAAGCAATTCCAACAGCTCTTGCAAGGCTTCACATTGGTTCTCGAAGACAGCTAGACATAGTTGCAGGTTTTCAATCTCGATGTGATTCCCCACGGACGTGGTCGGAGTGGACCTTGCGCCAGGCAGGGATGGAGGGTTCCCCTCTGGAAACTTCTGCGAAGTTTCTACAACTTCGAAAACCCTGAGCAGGGCGAACGAGCACGATGGAACCAGTCCTGCCGTCATCCAAGACCCTGAACCCCCAGTAAGGCGACTTCGCATGAATGTGTGGTTCCTGCTGCCATTTCGTCTCTCACTCTCGCTTCTGTCAGAGACATCTGGCGGCGCCTCAAAGTTTGACGCCAAGATTCGAAAACTTCGACCTGCTTTACCGAACCGCCGCCAACAAATTATACGTAATGCTCTACTACTCCAAGTCTCTCTCTCTCTCTCTCTCTCTGCCGTTGCATCCAGAGGGTCTAGCAGTGTTGCCATTAATTTCTATGAGTATTATACTATTACAACTGTTGCTATTAATTTCTTTTATAAGGTTCAGCCCCACCTCTGGTTGCGAGGAGATCGCATGGGGCCATGATGATCCAGAGACCTTGGCACCTGCCCGCTTGCAGACGAGCCTCGCCACGGAGTCTTAGGGTTTGCGGCTATGGCCGGTTAGGCTTTGGGGTCGGGGGTTTACTTGGTACACTTCCCGATTTGTGCCTTGGGGGTTTAGGGTTTAGGGTCTTTGCTTGGTTTAGGATGCAGGATAAAAGTTTGACTCTGCAAAGATACGGACTCTGCCAAGCAAAAGTATGGCCAGGGGGATCGAGCCGCCTACTTTCGGTTTCAATGACTTCAGGATCCATATCAAGATCCGCAACTTCCTGCAACTCCCACACAATTCTAGACACAAGAGTAGCCTAGGAATAAAAAGGGTGCCCTTTTTGGGATAAAGGGGGTTATAAGGGAACTTGAACCCTTAAAACGGGAATAAGGGCCTACTCTGGGTCCTAGAAGTTGAAAAAGCTTGCAGTCCTAAGCACGTCGGGATCCCAGCCCAGCACCAAGCTGATAGGGAGTAGTTCAGCAGGCGTGGGGAAGATGCATGGGGTTGAAGCGATTCTAAGGGTGTTCCGCACTCTGGTTTATTTTCTCGCAACTCGGACTTGCCAGGTTTTGGACTTTGGGGTTTAGGGATGCACAGAACCGAAACTTCATAGAAGAAACGCTTTACCCTAAACCGAACTTGGGGCTGCTGGCGGCGATGCCCCCTGCTTGCTGGAAAGTACGAAGCGCTGGTGGCTTCAAGTGCTCTCCGCGCTTCGGAAGGGATTTGAACTCGGCGGCCCCCGGTTTTCAACTTGCGTCCCATGTGCTGGCACTGATTTCACAAAGCGGATTCAGGCATGTTCAAGCTGGGTCTACCACCCTGAACCCTAAAACCTAGACTCGAGACCCGACATTCACCGGCATTCTGCCTGGTCTGGAGCCGGTGGCGGTTGGCGACCTGTGTACGCAAGCTGTACGCAAGGGTTGCATGTTTGAGGGTTTGTCGGGTTCGGAGGGGTTGGGGTGAATGGCATGGTCGAGGCTTTTGTTCATGCTGGGCCGTTGGGGGGGGCTGCGATTACGGTGTGATGCTGAGCGAGAAAGTGCAGAACAGGCTTTCGCCGAATATTCTGCCCAACGATGATTTAATACGATGGTTCGAGGTTTGAGGCTTCAGGGGTTGGAGTTTGGAGTGCGGAAGTTGTCGACCCTGGGGCAATGGCTGCTCTGGCTTGGGAACCGGGCCGTCTTGTAGGTAAAGTAGGTATGTATTATACTGGTTTTACGCAAGGGTGCGTGCTCAATTAATACTGCATTCTGCAGGGGTGCGTGATATCCATGGTCCATAGCGTCAGAGGGAAAACCTCCTACATAACAACAGAATGGCAATGACTGCCGTTAAGGCATGTGTATACACACGCAATATATAACGACAGAAATTATACAGACAAACACGCACATGCATACAATACAATACAATACAATACAATACAATACGCTACACTACATACATACATACATACATACATACATACATACATACGCACACACACACACCTACCTACATACATACTTCTATTACAATAATTGCACTACATTGCAGTGCATTACATGACATTACATTACATACATACACATACACAAACACGTACACATAAACATACACATGCACATACACATACACATGCACGCATGCATACACATGCATGCATGCAGAAGTACACACCTACATATACATACCATTACATACAAACATACACCTACACACCTACACACACATGAACACAAATAAATAGACAAATAAATAAACAAATAAATAAACATCTATATATATATATATATGTATATGTGTTTGTGCATGTGTGCTTCTATGATTTCTATGTGTATATGTAGAATGTATCTAAATATAAATATAAATATAAAAATTAATATGAATATAAAAATTAATATAAATAAATAAGTATATAGGTATATACATACATACATACATACATACATAGATAGGTGTGCATATATATATATATACATATGTTTTCGCATCTGTTTAGAGAGCTTCGCCTTTAAGTCTCGGAAGCCGCGGACAACATTTGTGTTGACTCCCGCCTGGCTAACTGAGTCACACTGCAGGGATACCACGAGTCGCGGACGGGATAAGGGTTGGTTCTCTTGCTGGGGTGCATCTGTCTGTTTGGTGTTTTGCGTTCTGAGCGTCGGCACGCCCTACACCCAAAGCAGCCAAGCTGCGAGCTGTGCACGTGCTGCACGGCGCCATCTCCTCTTCGAGGGCATAGGGTTTAGAGTTCAGGGGCCAGGCCAGGTGAGAATGTAAGCTGAAAGCCACATGTTCAGGCTGCGGGCAATGCTTGGTGCAGCTACAGCGTAAGTCCAGTAGGGGATGGTACTGTAGGGACCTGGGCATGCAGAGAAGCGCAGGAGGAGGCCAAGCAATTCGGTGTCATTACCACCTTTTCTTGCAAAGGCAAGGGCTAGCCTACAAGGCCGCAACTCTATCCAACAGTAGGTCAAGGTCCTTATCTTACAGATTACGCAATTTTGTTTACTGTACAGGATGTTCTCGTCTTCGTCTATTCCAGTATACGCAGCCAAAGCATCCTGGTCGGCATCCATTTCTCAACGCGCCTTCAAACCCAGACGCTAAACGCCAAACCCAATGCCTGGACTCTGACCTGTCCTGGTGTGTAGATCGGAATCCTTTGGAACTTCACCAAGCTCTCAAAGACGCGCATATCCTCCCAGGGCAGGTGGTTCACCATCTCCTGCAAATCACCTCCGCTTTGTGGCTTTTCGGACACAACACAAAAAACAAAAATGTCATGAGAGTTGCAAACCATTCTAGCGGCCAAGCCGTGTGCATTGTCGGAATACCCAGACCAAGGGTACCGTCATCCAGTTCCTCTCCGTCGGAGCATCCTTCTCCTCGTCAGCGTCGCCGTCGTTGTCATCACCATCATCTTCATCATCATCACTGTCTTCGTAAACACGGGAACTATCAACGCCACCATCAGTATGGCCACGACGAAACGCATCACCGCTAGTCATGATCACAAACAACAACACTAGCGTCACTAGCGCAATCATCACCACAGACTACAAATATCAAAAAAGAAAGGCAGCATAAGATCCACTGCCTTCTTCACAATCACCATGAACATGCGGACTTCCTCCTCTACACCTCATCATCATGACGATCGCCACTGGAATCACCGTCGTAGTCGTCAAAGTTATGGCCATACGTATACACATTATGTATATACATATATACATATATGCATATATACATATATACATATATTTTGTCATGTAGAAAAATATCTCGATCAATATGACAAGCATATGTATATATATATGTATATGTATACATATTTATACATATTTGTGTATATGCGTATACATCATTACACACATACACATGTGTATATATATATATACATATACATATACATATACATATACATACATACATACAGACATACATACATACATGTCCATATACATAGAGAGAGAGAGAGAGAGAGATACATGTGTATATATATATATATATATATATATATATATATATATATATATATATATACATACATACATATACTTTTAGCACTCGTGCTCGACTTATATACATATATGCATGTACATATATATATACATAAATACATATATATATATATATATATATATATATATATATAGCACTCGCGCTCCACTTACATATATAAATACACACACACACACATATATATATATATATATACGTATATATATATATATATATACATATATATATATACACGTATACACATATACACATATACATATATACATATATACATATATACATATATACATATATACATATATACATATGTACATATATGCATATCCACATATATACATATATACATATATACATATATACATATATACATATATACATATATACATATATACATATATACATATATACATATATACATATATACATATATACATATGTTATATGTACATATATACATATACATACATATATACACATGTATACACATGTATATATGACACAGGCCCGCGGTCGAGAGGCGGTTTCGGTAGGAATGAACCAAGAATTCTCCGATGCTGAGAAAGCCGGATCTGTTGGAGTCCATCCTGGAAAAGCGCACTTTAGACTTGTGAGGATAGGGTGTTCAAGCTTCCGGGATTTGGGGGGTCAAGGGATTTTAGGGTTTGTCTTAGGGTTTGAAGGTTTCGAAGCCTTTTATATGGGTACCAAAAGGGCACTGCGAGGATATTTTACGCCACGGTAGGGGTTCTACAAGGGTTTGGACGTTGGGCCGAATCTCTTCCGCTCTGCAGCCTGTGCAGACGGAAAGGTGTAATGCCCAGGACTCGTTTCACGAAGCCATGACGCTTGCGTGGACACAACGGCAGGCATCGAACAGGTCAACGGCAGGCATCGAACAGGTCTAAGACCTGATAACTTCCAATTCTACCTGGTGTTACCTAATGTTCTGTGTGTTTCAAACAAGCACTCCCAGGTAAACCATGGGCTCGGGTCACGACAGCACATAACATGTGCCAGCCGCACGAGGATGAAACATGAGAACATTTTCCATCACTCGAACCGACAAGGTGCAAGCACAAGCTTCTATAATAGTAAAAACAAAAAACAACAGTAAGGTAATTGTGATTGTAATATCCATCATTTTCAATCACAAAAGGACTAGCAATCAACATGGCGATCTTAATATGTACTTATCACGAGCAAACGTGGCGAATAGCATCGGCGGCTCGCGGCTCGAAAGTATCAGCTGCAACTTCAATATTTGGGGGTTAGGGGTTTAGGGTTTAGGGTTTTGGGTTTAGGGTTTAGGGTTTAATATTTGTCCGAGTGTGAGCGCCTAGGGGTTTAGGGTTAGGATATGCATCGCGTATCCAGTGGCTCCAGTTGTTGCCACATGTACTGCGAAATACCCGGCTGTGCGGTATCAATCGGATCCCGGATAGCCAGAAATTCCTCAGTTAGGTGAAAACATGAAAAGAGAACATGACTTCAGCAGCTGAGGGAAATGGGGCAAGACGAGGAGCAACAGGAAAACCGCAAGAAGGAAAGGAAATAATACTAGAACAGTAAGCAGGCAAAATGAAACAAAGTCGGCATGAATAGAACAACATGTGCAGAAAGAGAAAACATAACAACACAAACGAACAACGCAGCCAATTTGGCAGAAAAATTACAGTAACTGTTCAAAACCGTCAGAAAAGCACCACAGGATATCATAGGATGCTTTGGAAAAACACAAAGGGTACCAGGAAAACTATGCTAGCGTGCTTCCTTCCTATACTCCGCTATGCTTTCCTAGGTCCGGTTCCTGCAAGGGTGTAGGGTTTAGGGTCCAGCGTTTTATTGTAGAAATGCAAGGCCTGCCTCCGGTTCTCCAGTGTGTTGCCCTGTCTGGTTCCTGTGCAGTTGTTACTTGTTCCTTTCTCTAAGCACTCCAAGAATTTAGGATTTAGGGCTTGGGGTTTCGGGTTTAGGGTTTCAATGATTCCTTATGTCTTCCTACAGTTGTCCTGTTGCTTTGATTTCGGCACAAGATATGGGCATTTACTCTTTCAGCCCTTGAGGTTCTCTGCGGTTCCCCCGAGTACCCTGTCCGATCCCACTGAACCTACCCCCCCCTTAGGCCCTAAGGATATACAACAACCACCCACACCAACACCGACGACAAACAGGACAACAGCAAAACAAATTGCTATCACATTATGTATCTGACAGCTGGACCCATGCCCGGACCTCTTGAACAAGTCGTCCATGGCCACCTCCAACTCCACGTCTGTTGGCATGGCCACACCTACAAACCAGCGATGAAGGCCCTCCAGTGTGGATCGGATTGCCTTGCTTGCGCCATTGTTTTAGGAGAAGCAGAGGGTAACCGCCCTTGGGATTCTGCGATGATGATGTTGGATGATAGGTACAACAAGAAGAAGCACAGGAACTGGACCGCCAAGTCGCGATGCAGAACTCCGGCTTGCTCAACTGACCATCGTTATCCAAGTCGAAAATACTGAAGATCAGTGACATCCGAGAAATGTAGCTTTGGTTTGAAGTCAACACTGCCGCGGCGAAAACGGTGTTGCCATCCACCTGCGAGCTTCAACACTAAGACAGAGGGTTCTCCCGCATCTTTGCTGTTATGGACCCTGATATGGTACCCTAAAGAGTGGGATCCTTGTTATATGGACCCCAAAATAAGGCATTTCTTGAAACATTCCGACCTTGCTCTTCTTCGGGTGCAACATTTTGAAAGCTGCCTTTGACTGCGCAGTGTCCCGGAAGCATTGGAACGCCTCTAAAAAGCTGTGACAGTCCTTAGCTGACTTCAGAACCCCTCCTAAAAGTTAAACTTTTAGCCTCTTTATTATAGGTCATATAGAAACCCAAAAAGTTAAAGTCCTCAGAGTCAACCAGAAGAACACCAAGAGTCCATGTCGGGCTCACCGGAATCCAGGAAGCGCTGGTAGGCCTTCAGTAAATCCTCCCTGGACCAGGAAGCAAGGGGCCGCAGCTCTTCATGCATCTCTGGTACGCCATATCCACAAAGCCTGAATTTCTTGAGTGGCTCTCAGGTTTGCAGTTTAGGTCCCAGGTGCCATCGAAGATGTGCGAAAGCTAAGTAAGGCTAGGAAGTCCGGGGGAAGAAGCTGTGATGTTTAGTGGTCTCGGCAGAAGCCCCAAGAAGCTTAGGACTTAGGGTAAAGACGGCATCCGTAAACCTCTAAAGCGAAAAACCCAGTCGTGGGCCGGGCCACAAGCCTTTGGACCAGATCTTGCTTGCAATCTTCCCCATGGGCCACACCAGAGACGACGGGTCGGCTGAGGCCTTCGGCTTGGCGATGGCTGAGAAACACAGCAACTTGCAGTGTAGCCGTCGTCGTGGCAGCAGCAGCTGCAGTAGTAGTAGTAGTAGTAGTCGTCGTCGTCGTCGTCGTCGTCGTCGCAGTCGCATTAGTCGCGGTAGTCGCGGTAGTCGCGGTAGTCGCGGTAGTCGCGGTAGTAGTAGTGGAGGTAGTAGTAGTAGTAGTAGTAGTAGTAGTAGTAGTAGTAGTAGTAGTAGTAGTAGTAGTAGTAGTAGCAGTAGTAGTAGTAGTAATAGTAGTAGTACAGCAGTAGTGGCAGTAGTAGTCGTAGTAGTAGTAGTAGTAGTAGTTGTTGTTGTTGCAGCAGTAGCAGCAGTAGCAGCTGCAGCAGTAGCAGTACCAAAGCAGCAGCAGTAGCAGGAGCAGCAGCAGCAGCAGGAGCAGTATTCGTCGTCGCCTTTGTCGCCGTCGTCGTCGTCGTTGCAAAAGGCGCATCAAGCATAACAGGACCAGTAAACAGAAGACAAACACCTTGGAATGCTGGGAACTGATGCAATGATTCTATCGCACCAATCACCCTAAAACTTGGTAACATGGGAGTTTCCGAAGATAGGGGACCCTAATATAGTGCCCTGAATAGTAGGATCCTTATTATAAGGACCCCAAATAAGGTACCCCTGATTTTCTGAAACTCCCACATCTTCAACCCTGAAAATCTTCTTCCTGACTGCTTGGGTCAGCAGTTCCCAGCTTGTTATGAAGCCTCTGACCGCGATGCCAAGGAACGTGGCACAAATCGTGAGGTCACGAAAGAATAAACACAACCACTATACTGTTTTGGGGGCTCCTTACTACAGTTATGGCATAATAGGCGCCAAAACCAAACCCATCCGGGCGGCTGGGATGCGGGCTATTGCCCACAATACCCAAAGCCACAGCGCCGCCGCTTAACCCTGCAGGTGACACCTTGGTAACGCTTCGAAGTAGTGGGCACTGTTGATGACATATTACCGTGGTGGCCCTAGACTATGGGAATCATGGTATAGTCGTCATTATGGGTATTGCAGGAGTCATATCACTAATCGTATTATGCAATATTAGAGTGTTGTATGAACCAATTACTCTATGTCAGATTATGTTATGAGGTATGCTTTGCTTTTATGTTCTACTACGTTGTATTGTGTGATGTTACGCTATGTTGTGTTACATTATCTTAACTTCCTGCATATCTTATTCTGCAGTAGCCCCAAAAATCCTAGTTGAAATTACAGTACAACAACTGTATAGCATCTCTGCAAAACCCTATTCTGGTTGCTGCGTCCCTTACTTTAAAACCCTCAAACTAACTTAACCCTAATCGTAACCTTATAGAACCCTTTACAACAATCTCGTCCGAGTCTTCAAGCCCCTACATTGAAAGGTTTTCTGCTCTTCGGGGCTCCACAGCTTCCTAGGACTGTAAGGTTCATCGGGCTCCAAGGGCTTCAATGGCGACCCCTAGAGGGGCAGAGGGGTGGGGAGATTGTGGAGAAAAACTGGCGGGGGCCTATTTCCAGGCATGATGGGTTCAAGGTGTTGTTCTTCCCCCGCCCTAACCAGGAAAGACGGCCCAGCCACCGACGCACCCTACGTTCAGGCAGTCGTAAACAAAAGCCCGCGAAACCCTGTGTAGTGTAAATCCCAGTCCTATCCATTAGCCCATCACCACTATGCTGAACTTAGAACCCTAGCAAGAATTATAATTTTGCTGTTTCTTAGGGATTATAATAACCAAAAATCAAAAATTATTTCTAAGTACCCCTAAGACCAACATAAGTGCCCAAACTTGCTGTGTCGGCAGCCTCTTGCGCCTCCATCGTCCTGAATTTCATGTAGACCACAGCCATACACACCCCGCCTGAGGCCCTAATATTGGGATCCATCTTTCAATCCCTATAAAAGGGATCATCTTGATTGGCCCAAAACCCTCTCTTCTCCAGCGAAATGTCGTACTGTAACGCCTCAAAACTAAAGATGGGTCGAATCCGGAAACACACAAACACACAAACACACACACACACACACACACACACACACACACACACACACACGCACGCACGCACACACTTACTAACGCATTCGAATGACTTATGCACATCGTTTGCAAGATTTCGCAAGACATCGCAGCAAATCCTACTGAGAAATTCATGCGACCAGCTGCGGGATAGAACGAAAGCCCTTGCGTTCTAGACACCCGAAACCCAGACCAAACCCACCCACCCACCCAGAGCACAAGCTCAACAGAAGCCCGAACCCTGATCCCTACACTGTGTCCTCACAAAACCCCTTCTTGCCTCTAAACCCTTTTTGCCTCTGGACAGGAGACGTCGGTCGGGAAAGTGGCAGCAAACAGAAGCATCACGCGGCAAAAACCCACACTCCAGGTGTTACCCCGAATTCCTAAGTCCTAAACCCTATAAACCTCCTCACACCGGGGCGCGAAAGGGCCTGTCCCACGGCCACGCTCGCTGGCTCGACGCCTGAGGGAGTTGGAGGTTGCAAGGCCGTCGTTTGAGAGGTCTCGGCGATGTTGTAGAGTCTGCTGGCGCAAGAGGACAAAATCGGCCCTAGAACAGGCTGCAAACAAGCCAGCAAGATGTCCAGACTTGAGCGGGAGAATGTCAGGAAGACACCGAAAAAAGGCGGCAAAGGGTCAGAAGAAAAGGAGACAGCTAATCATTTAGGCCCCTATAGAAGAGAACCCTACTGTAGATGCTTTCTAGAACCCTTTAAGGAACCCTTTAAAGTATAGTACCCTTATAGATCCCTTGTAGTAGCATATTCCCCTTTAAAGGAGCCCTAAACCCTATATTACCATATAGGCCCCCCTGGTCCGACGGCAAAAGGGTTGCTAAACGGGCTTCGGCGCTCACCCTCGGACAAGCCAGGCGAGGCAAACGGGTTTAGGGCTTCTAAACTGCTAAACCCCAACCCTAAACCCAAACCTCTGAAAGGCAGAAGAAGACCCCAAGCCTCAAGAAAGTCTTTTAAAGTCGTGATATCGAAGCTGCGAGGAGTCAAGCAAGTGTCAGAGCCCGCCTTGTAGGCGATTAAGCCGCGCGGCCGAACCCGCCGTCGCTAATTTGAGCCGATGAGGAAATTTGGGCGTTGCAGGCTGGTGATGGCGATGGCGATGCTGCTAATGATGATGCTAGCAATGATGACGATGATGATGGCGACGACGGTGTTGGTGGTGGTCATGATTGTTTGTGATGCTGCACCATCCCAAGTCCCTGTCGAACCTCAAAGCACCATCAGCATGATCGTCGCACCTGTCGCCGAAACCACTTGCAGAGTCGTCGTGTTCACCCACAACGAAGCATCATCACTGGCGTTGCTATTCTCCTCTTCTTCTGACACTTTACCATGGTCACCACCACCATTCCCACGCTCATGGTGATTGTGTGGCGGCTGCAGGCATACAGACTTTGAGCTTTGATCGCCGGCGTGTCCCTACCCCTAGGTCAAAGCTTTCTAAGGGGCAGCTGCACATGGAAACCATGAACCACTATTCCAGATATCCACAATCGCAACCCTTATAGAACCCTGATAGTAACCCTTAATAATTAGACTAGGGTTTTGGGACCCCCCTTATGCTATAATTATAAGAAGGAGCCCCCGAAAATAGTAGAGGTAATTATTGAGGCCCCTATATTACACCCCCATAAGACCCCTTAGAGTAACCCTAGTAGGACCCTTTTTAAGAACCCTTTAAGGTAAAAGCCAGAAAGTTGGAATATGATTACCCTAACCCTTCTATGGTAAATTATAGGGTATCCTACCCTGAAACCATATTCCAACTTTCTGGAGTTCCCTTTAAAGGAATCCTATTCGCTCCTTGATCTGCTCCAGCAAGGTCGTCGTGTCGCGATCAAAGCTCTGGACCTGGCCCTCGGCAGGGGAGGGTTTCCGGTTTGGACAGCGAAGAACCCAGAGAGCCTAGGGTGCCTTAAAAGGGCTCCTTAAAGAGATCTATAAAGGGGGTCTATAAGGGAATTAAGGAATAGAGCTTCAATTATAAGGGGGCGCATAATATGATTTAAGCTATATTCCTTAATTAAGGGGTATTGGGCTCTCTGGGAAGGGTTCTGTGGGGTTCTATGAAAGGTCAACAAGGCTTCGAAAGGGCTCTACGAAGGTGCTTAGGGTTTAGAGTTGAGGGTTTAGGGTTTGGAGCTTCGAGTGGGGTTTGTTCAAGCACAGACCTCTCATGCGCTCCATAAGGCTTTATACAGGTTCCGCGTGAGTTCGGTACAGGTACCGTTCTAAAAAGTTTGGGTAACAGGCGGTATCAGGGTTCCACGAGGGCTTCAGGATTTGAGGGCTTTTCGACGCTCACACTCGCCCAAGGCAGGCAAGGCTCCACAAAGTATGGGGTTTAGGGTTGTTTACTTGGAGGATCATGGGACTTAGTCAGTGGAGCTATAAGTACCTTAATTGGGGTCAGAAGTAATTATAAGCATAGTTACCCTTATTATAACCCGAGTTACTAAGTCTCATAATCCTTTAAGTAGGGTCTTTGCAGTTGAGGAGCCAAGGGCTGGGCATGTTGGGGATCAACTTTGGGGTTTCTGTGGCTTTGAGATTCATGGATCGTCAGGGCATGGAGCTGTGGGGCTTGGGTCTTCAAGGGGTACAGTAAGACCCGGAAAGTTGGAAGCCGGATTAAGGCCAAATAGTGCTGGGAGTCCCTATACATTACTCTTAAGGGTTTTTTTCCCTTCAGACCTCTTAAGGATTGAGGCTATTGGGTTTCCAACTTTTAGGCTTCTACTGCAGCCTCTTAAGGATTGAGGCTATTGGGTTTCCAACTTTTAGGCATCTACTGTAGGGTTATAGGGCTTCGGGTTCTGAAGGTTATATAAAAGGTTTGGGATTCCGATCCTGGCACCCTACGGGCAGCATCCCAAAACCCCACGCCTTCCCTGCACCCCTCCTATGGCCCTAGATG